GCTTTATTTTGTATGTTACATTTATTTATATCTCTATTTTATTTTTAATATTTTGACCAATTATTAAAACTTCACTAGTTTAATCTTCAGCAGTGTCTCAATTGCTATAAAACCCCTCCATTAAGGTGTGGTAAGGTTTGTTTTGTTATATTGTTATTGCACTTGTAGAAATTCCATTTGGACGTTATTATAGTGACCAATTCTTGGACGAAATTTTCAGTCTCATAGTTTATCTCCTTGAATATAGCAAGCATACTTACTTCAAGTCTATTTCTGGTAATTCTACCATCTAGAACCTTGATTGAATTTTGTTTTGGCTTATAATAATATTGTTTTGTTTCTTTATGGGACTGGTAAAATTTTCTTGTGCAATTAATGTATGTGAAAATTTATATGTCTAAGCTTAACCCTAAGATAATATTGTACTCCTCCAGAGAGAATTTACTTTGCTTCTGGAAGTTGACCAGAGGCATTAGTTCTTAGTTCAATTTCAGGGACTCAGGTGATTTAAAACTGAGCTTCAGTCTCCATGAGCCCAAATTTTGGTGTTTTACTCAACTCAAAATATGATTGCTCACCAGAATTCCCATTGTTAGCAGGTCATTAAATGTATTTATCTTACCTGTTGGCCCATAAGCAAAAAGTTTAGTATCTTCTCATCACCAGGTGAAAAGTTGTGACAAACACCATGCTCAGCCTTCTTGGTTTCATTCTTATCCAAGTCTTACATCCATATTTCTTCATGTTCTCAAAGCTCTAATTCCCTTCAGCAATTGCCTATTGTATTTTACTCAGTCTTCTAATTGTCAGTGAAAGGGATGGTACTAATTACTTCATCCACCATTACAAAGAAGGCTTTAAATATAACTTGGGTGGTTTACAAAGTGGTTCTAAATGTTTTATTAGCTATTTCAGTGAGGAAGATTCCACAATGATAGGATTAAGATTTTTAGAAAATAAGTATTAAAAATTCAAACAGTAATTACTCATAGATATTTAAAATATAGAGAGCTATAAAGTGTTCAAGAAAGCAAGGTCAAGAGTCTCATTAAGACATTTGAATATATTTTATTTGGAAGTTTTTGCAAATTTATTTTTAGTACCTTTTCTACTTTTTCCTTGTGGCTATGTCATGTAATGAAAATTTACTTTTGAAAAAACTCCATAAAGAGACCCACAAAGCCCCTCTAGTTTACCGCAAGTTACTATATAGATATGAACTTCTACAAGGGCCATTAAATGAAAAAAGTTAGAAATGACTAATCTACCAAGATTTATTTCATACCCATATTTTCTTCTTAGTAATTACTTTTCACTATAGTCATATGTTTTCTCATATATCTCACAAAGCTGAATCTTGGCCAATGGGACCTGAGAAAGGGAATGGGGAATCTTCATTTACCTAAGTAAACTTGGTCAACCCAAATTAGAATTAATTTTCAACACTGGCTGTGGTATCTCTATTCTTATGATACTAGAACTGATATAGGCATGCATGACCACAAAGCCTAATGTTGTGATTCTGCGGATAGTGCTATGGAATGGTGGAAAACACAAAGGTATCCCAAAATTGTTGAGCACCTAAACTAACTCAGGACATCTCTACCTCTGTATTTCCAGTCACACAAGAAAATAAATGTCATTATTTCAGCTCTTCTCATTTAGGTTTTCTGTTACTTGCAGACAAAGGATTCTATTACTAAACGTACAGGAGTGGGTTCTGTGTCTCCTCCCCTTGAGCTAAAGAGGCCTGTGACTTCTTCAATGATTGGGATAAGGTCGGTACAGCAAGTTACATGAATCATAGAGTAATAGACTCCTTAAAAACTAACACCACCAATAGAATGGGACATTTAGTCATATCCTGGTTAATATCTTTTGCAAACTTACCTGTAAATTTTTTTGTTTGTTTGTTTGTTTTTGAGACAGGGTCTCACTATGTAGTTGAGACTGACCTGGAACTCACTATGTAGCCCAGACTGGTCTTGAATTCACAGTGATCCTCCTGCCTCGGCCTCCTGAGTGCTGGGATTACAGGCATGCACCACCACCACTGGCTGTAAAGTTTTTTTTGTTGTTTCCTGTTTTTTGTTTTTTTTTTTAGAATATGGTAGAAGTGACTGCTGCATGACTTCTGAGACTAGTTCATAGAAGGTGATATAGAGCTAAGCATGGTGCCATGTGCCTGTAGCCTCACCTATTCAGGAGGACCTTTGCACTGAGATTCATTCCAGGACTTTTTTTACTTTTTACTTTGTGACATGGTCTAAGTTGCTCAATTGGCCAGGCTGGACTTGAACTTGCAATCCTCTTGCCTCAGTCTTCCAGGGTATTGAGATTACAGGCATCCCACACCATACCTGACTAAGATCCCATCTCTTAGAAATAAAGAAGGTTATGTAGCTTATGCCAAGCTCAGTGGAACACTCATGCTTGCAGTCTTGAGTTGCTATATAAAATGTCTGGCTACTTCAGGTTGTCATGATGGTACCATAGGAAGCCAAGCCACTTGAGAGTCCATATGTTGGTATATCTATTAATAGTATTAATAATTGATTCATCCTAGCCCAGACACCAGATATATGAATAAACACATCTTCAGAAAATTTCAGCCTCCATGCAGCACCATGAAGCTCTTCCCAGTCTCCAAGACTTCTCAGCTGAGGCCTCTGATATCATGGAGCAAAGATAAATGATCTCTGTTAAGCCCTGTTCAAATTTCTCATTAATAGAATCCATATGCATAATATAATAAAATAAATAAGCTCCTCAATGCTGGAGTGCTTCATTACATAGGGATGATAACTGGAACAATATTTCACCACCTTACTTTATGTTTATCATGAGTTACCACATAACAGAAATTTGAGATGTCATAGTGTGGTCCTTGTGGCTTTTCCTTTTGGAGTCTTTTTTTTTTTTTTTTTTTTTTTTTTTTGGTACAAGGAATTGAGCTCTGGTCCTTGTGCTTGTGAAGCAGGCAGCGGAACCACTGAGCTAAATCCTCAGACCAGTCCTTGTAGCTTTCATATGAGCTAACCTCAGGCTTTGGTCCATCTAGACACAAAAACAGTTCTTTAAGAGAGGAGCAAATTTGGTGTTCACAGAGCCATCACTACGCCTCTTGATAAGCAGAAAGTTGTAATTTCTCAAAGAATAATAGCATTAGTAAGAAAAAGAAAACCTTGAAAGGATATGTTTCCTTTACGAATAGCAGTCACAACTTTCTTGCAATGACACAAAATTTAAAGAACGAGTAACAAACTGCACATTGTCAAGTAAATGAACTATTGGGTTCTCTTTCTGTCATAAAATAAAAGGCGGGAATGGAAGATCCTGAGATTCAGAAGCCCAGAAGTGTACTTAACACTCGTGCGGCCTTTTACAAGTTACTTCATTCCTTTCCACTCTTGTTTTACTTGTAAAATAAGAGTTGCACTCAAAAACTATTAAACTTTCCTACTTTGATTTTGTGGAACAACATAGCAAAATGATAGTGGTAGGCTGAATGTTGTTCCCTCCCAAAGGTGTCCACATATGAATTTCCAGAATCTGTGGT